GTCGTGTCTGTCCGAACTGGAGGTGGTGACATGCCTCGCGTTTCGAGTGTCGTGGCAGAGGCGCAGGCTCGTGGTTGTTCTGCCGGCTGTGCTGCAGAGGCGGTCACTCCCGGCAGAAGAGCAGGACAGACAGCTGGGGTGACAGCCCCTTGAAAGTCTTCAGTGTGAACGTACGGAGGTACTCTGCTCCTGGCATATCTAGAGATTTTTGGGCGTTAGTCTTGCCTTGTTCAGCTTCACACATATTCACAGTAACCTTTCAGAAGCTTGAAAATAGCGGTTTGAGCTAATTTGCAAACGCTACTTTCCCTGCTTAATGTCATCTTAACAGAGCTTTCTGTTTACTTTCATGTTTGTGCCTCAGTATAAGTTCATCAACATGCTGCAATCAAGCACCTCATGACAGATGAAGAAAGGAAACGTGGGTCAGTGCACAAGCTGTTAATTTGCAACCGAACAAAAAGATGACATGGAAAACCTGAATATAGGCAGTGCACTAAAGCTGTTAGGCACATAGTGCCGTGCTGAATAAACTGACTAACTGCTGCTTAGTCTGTGGGTCTTTTTGCATTTTGCCATTGCAGATACGAATCTTGAAGGCCCCCAAGTCCTCTGATCCAGTCTCAAGCAGCCAACAAATGTGGGTCCGGTTTATTAATCGTCGCCTGTTGGGACAGTAAACCCACTCCCTGGCAATCATGTGTTGGGTGGGAAAAAAATTGTCATACAATACATTACTTCCCCAAGTCATGCGCTGTTGTGCTAGGGTTATTCTTCTTGTTCAGGTCTTCTCTTCCGACACCTCTGCTCTAGGGTAGAAATGTTTTCACAAGCAAGCGCACCGGGACCGTTGCACAAAGGCCAGATGTGACACCTAGAAGTTGTCCGGCTGTCTGGGTACTTAGAACTGCAAACTGGCTGTTGCCCTGTGGCTTGCAGTTCCTGCGCCCGCTCGGATGGAGAGGCAGGAAGGATCCTTCTCTGGCTGCACTGGCCCTCTGCTGGCATTACGGGAAAGGACCTAGCTGGGAACACGGCAGTTTACCCTCCATGGTGGGCACACAGCCTTCCCAATCTGACAGGTTCTCTCCTAGGAAAGATGCATCCAGATGTTTCAGCACATCTGTGAGTCTGCCTTCATGATCAGAGCAGAGATGGGACTCCCTAAGGCTTGAAGGCTGAAGTTTGGTGGCTGTAGTTAGTGTTAATTGTACCTGAACATTCTTACTTCTGCTCTGTGTGTGTGTGTGTGTGTATGTACACGCATATATACACACACACGTATGTCTGCACACGTGTGTAGAGACACAATGGTAGAGC